TTAGGTTTTTGAGGATTTTGAAAATGTTTAACGGGGTTTCCCTCGTTAAATTTGGATGTAACTTTTCGAGTAGATGATTTTTCATATAAAAAACTTTTTCATCCGAGTTTGTATGCAAAAGTTATGCCCATTTTACTAAATTCTAGAGAGATTTTGCAAATAAAGTCGAAATTCACATTTGCAAATTTTCCCAACAACTAGACCACATATCACATGGGAAACTTATTTTCTTTTATTTTTTTTGACATTTTCATCATTTTCTTTTATTTTTTTAAACTGAAAAGGCGATCCACCGGGAGGGGGGGTAGAGTTTGAAAATGGGACCTTTAGTACTGGTTCGTGCCATGAACCGGTACTAATGCCTCAAACCCCATTAGTACCGGTTAGTGGCTCGAACTGGGACTAAAGGTCTAACCTTTAGTACCGGTTGGTGCCACGAACCGTTACTAATGGGCATCGCACCCTTTAGTCCCGGTTCGTGGCACCAACCGGGACTAAAAGGTCCAGACGAACCGGGACAAATGGCCCGCGTGGCCCCTGGGCTCACGAACCAGGACTAATGCCCCCATTAGTCCCGGTTCTAGACTGAACCGGGACTAATGGGCTAACCCGGCCTGGACCAAAGCCCTCTTTTCTACTAGTGTATGTGTGTAATAACAGGGTAATATATGCCCGAGGGGGACACACGAAGGGAGCTGCCACCCGATGCGGTCGAGCTGATCCAATCTGCGTGTTCGAGCATAGTTGTGCGTCCGAGCGCAGGACTCCGCCGTGCCGCAAGAAGCTCAGGCCTCGGCACATGTGTGCTCCTGTCTGGACATGGGAGCAGCTACACGAGTCAATTTGGCTATGCACATTTGCTATGAGGCATGGCCATAGCTCCAAGTGCTCTGTTTCGGCTCAAGTTCAGTTTATCTGAACTATGGCAAAAATTCACTCAGTTTATCTAAACTATGGCAATATCACTTAAATACAGTTATTGAACTTATGAATCTTATTTGTGTTCACCTCAAGTTCAGTTTATGCTCACATAAATAAATTTCTATATTGTGCAGATCGCATCGTTTCTCTACATTCTCATGATTCATAAGTGATTGTAGCGCTAAAAAATTCTCATGATTCGGTTTTTTTTGTTTGAGGGGCTCTCCAAAGCTAAATACCACGGTAACTTTTTGACCCGGGAATCTCCAACGTTCGTCCTCTCCCGCACCAAACTTTTGAAGAGTAGACAAAATGCACCATCCCACAACATGGTTAGCATGTGTCATAGTTACCAACACAGTTATTATGTAGTTATCGGGCTAGATGTACTATAGTTACCAACGTGGTTGCTATGTAGTTATCCGGCTAGATGTACTATAGTTATCAACATGGTTATTATGTAATTATCGGGCTATATGTATTACAGTTATCAACATTGTTATTTTTGTAGTTATCGAGCTAAATGTTGTCCAAAACACCCCCGATAGTGTCTGAGTAAATAACATGATAATTTACGTACCACAAACCTGATAACTTATGTACAAACGGTGTGATAACTTTGACCTGGGAGAAAAAGTTATTGAAACCCCCCCTCCCCATAGATTCCGTATAAATAACATGGTAACATACGCACAACAGAGTTGATAACTCACGCACAAATACCACAATGACTTTGACCCGGAAAGGGGGGTTGTTTAAAAACATATCCTTGATAATTCCATGTAAATATCATGATATCATACGCACTCGATACATGATAACTCGTGCACAAACATAGTGGTAAATTTGGCCCTGGGGTGAGAGGAGGGGAAGAGGTTGTTTTGAAAACAACACCGAAATAACTTTGTAGGTATCGTCGCGACGGATTTTTTTATGTGAAAATATTTTTTTGATCGGACCGGCGGTTTGAGTTATAAACCATTTTTTTTCGAAACGGAGGCAAAAGATTTGCCTCATCGATTAATTAAGAAGAAGAGAGTTGCCCAGTTAATTAACGGAAAACCGGGCAAAAACCGGTACAAATCAACCACATGCGGTCAACTGACTGAGCATGCAACCCATAAGCACATGATCAGCCCGACAACCATACCCAACACGCAACACAACCATACCCAACATGCAACGATCACCAACCCACACCCTCCTACTCGCAAAGAAATCCCCCCAACGAGAGAACCTCGGCCGAAGACCACGAACACCACCAAATCCACATAGACAAGCCGAGCCTTAAGGACAATCCAAGAGACTGATGGCCCTCCATCAAGCAGCTGCAGACGCCTTCTTTGCGGCATCACTCTTCTTTCTTTTGTTCCTGAGAGCCTCCTCCACAATTGTCTTGCCAGATCCAGGGCTAGCCGCCTCCAAACGTTTGAGCAAGCTATGAATCTCAATCTGGAAGAGAATCTCATCGACTTTTTCACGTACAGACACCACCTGCCCAATGGCATTGTGCGAGTGGGTGACCGCAATGTCGGAAACTCCACGGTCCACAAAGGTGAGCGGCTGGCTGGGTTCCAAAGGATCAGGTGCCAACATATCGACCGCCCCAACATCATTGCCCATAGGTACCACCGGCACGATGGACTCTGGCACCTCCAGTTGCTCACATGACAAACGTGAATCATGTCCCTCACACAAGGTCGCCGGCGAGACGACCTCCACATGTTCCACTGACAACACTCTAGCCACAACGCTATCATCAACCATAGTAAACTCCTTTGGTTCCACCATTGACACAGGCGAAACATGCCCCACACACAAGTCCTGCATGTCAGGCATGATCTGCAAAACCGGGGCAATGACCCCGTCTATGGCCTCACCCTTAAAGGCATCTGACACAGAGGACAAGGCAGGCAACAACAGCGAACTGGACCCAACACGAGGGGAAAGAGGTCCATATAGGTCTGCATCATGTTCGTCTGCAAGGCCAACATCGAGCTCAGCAAGGGGAGGCGACGCATTCGGGGTCTGCGACACGGCCTCCGCACGCTCCAAACAAGCAGCCGCACGCGCCATCCAAAGCTTGATTGATGCTACCTCATCACACAAAGGGCGGGCCACCTCCTCAACGCGGCCATTGACCAACTGAAGGAGCTCAACGCGAAACGATGCGAGGAGAGATTGCAAGTCTGAGCCTGGGATGCCTCTATCGTGGGGAGCAAGATGAAGTGGCGCAGGGTGATGCTGTTGGAGAGGAGCCTGATTGACTTGGGTAGCCGTTGTTGAGGAACAACGAAATTTGTGGCAGTCACGGGCACGATGGCCAGAGCAGAAGCAATTGTTGCACTTAATGGGATCACGGCAGTCCATAACGCGGTGCCCTTTGGCGAGGCAGCGAAAGCATCGTCCTCTAAGCCAGGCAGGAGGTGTTCGGCGTTGGTTGAATGTCGGAGTTGGATACACCAGATGATGCGGACAACGTCGTGACTGCACCCTTTCCCAGCCTTCATCCTCGTGTGCTGCATCAGAAGAAGGTTTCTGGAGTGAAGACGTAGACGGGTCGGCGAAGCAACTTCTCCGGTCACCACATCCAGGGGCAACCGGGCCTTGAACCTGAATGCTTGGGCAAGCAGAATCAGCAGCAGCGCCCGAATCCTTGCCACCAGTAGCGGCAGACACCATCCTGGCATCATCATTCCCATCCGAGCTCACCAGCACCTCCTCCATCGCATCGCCGGGCGCAACGAGGGGACCCGTCAGAAGCAACAAAGGCCGAGGGGAGCCGGCAGGAGTCGGTGACGGCGCGGCCTCAGCGGGGGGCGTGGACGATGACGAGGTTCTCGTAGAGGCCGGGGACGACGGCGGCACTACGACGGCAGGAGTCAGGGATGGTGCGCCGTTAGCAGAAGACCGGGACAACGCGGTGGTCGGAGCAGACTTCCGGGGAGACAACGAGCTAGCCACCACACCGCCGTTCTCCTTCCCAAGCCTCCAAGCTGGGGGGGCTGGGGGCGAGCGAGAGGAAGGGCGAGGAGCCGGGGTGGCCGCCGCCGGTTGGGGCTGCAGCGAGGTGAGGTCGCTGGAGCACATGTCCGAGCAGCCAGGGAGCGGCGGCAGGGGAGCCCAGCAAACGGGGACGAGGCTGAGAAGGCGCGGTGGGGATTCCGGATCTGACCCTGGCTGAGGCAGAGGAGGTTGGAGGAGGGAGATCCAGCCGGCAGCGGCGCCGCTCACCCGTCGCGGCCGCGGTCGCGGGAGCGCATTCCCTTTTCCTGGTATTTTGATATAACTAGAAGTTTTGAAATAAAGGAGAATCTAGGATAACATCAATTTCCCCCCTCTAATGCATGCACGCATGTGCATGTGAAGAGAAGGTTGGAGGAATCATTTTTATGCCTCGGTAATTTATGTGTAAACAATATGATAACTTATGCACAACTCGCATGATAAATTGCGTAGTACACACGTGGTAACTTTTTACCAAAAAAATGTCATGGGAACATAGCAACATGGTATCTAGTTTCGAAGGTTTCGTCGTGACGAATCTTTATGTGAATTTTTTTTATCAGAGCGACGGTTTAAGCTACAAAACATTTTAAAATATAATTTTAGATGAAATCTTTGCTGACATCAGCTATTTTGTCCCTGTAAGCATACTTAAGATTAATTAAGGACAATTAGTAGATCCAAATTTTCACAAGCTCGCAGAGTGAATCGCATGGCTGTGCAAAATAGCTGACTAGTCGAAAGTTAATAGCAGGGCTGGGCAAAATCGTTCGGATCTATTGCTCTGGACTGACTAGTCGGAAGTTAAATTAAACAATCCAAATGATTGATGAGATATCGTCTAATTGCTTAAAATTTATGTGATAAAAGATGAAAAAAAGGTTTTTTTTATATAATTTTTTTAGCAACGGTTTGATTAGGTCCGTCACTTTTTTGACACACTTTTGAGAAATTAATAATGTTTAGGAGCATTTGAGTGGTTGTAGATTGGGGTTCGGCTAGAGATGCCTTACGAGGAGAGAGACTGTAGACCAGCTGGGAGATAGCGAGGAGATCAACCTCCAAGCAGAGGGATGGAGGTCGCGGTGGTCGTCGGGCCGATAGTGAAGCTCTTGCCGAAGCTCCTATCGGTGATAGATGGGAAGAGGAAGCAGCTGGACAACCTGGAGGTCGACGCTGGATTCATCCGGCGCGACCTGCAGTCGATCCAAGAAATCATTGGCCGCTCGAATGGCGGCAGATCCATCACGGACCTCTGGGTCCGAGATCTCAGGCGCTTGGCGGACGACATGGAAGACTGCATCGATCGCTTCCAGGTCGGGAAGATGAGCAGAATCAGTTTCGTCGGGAAGATCTGCAAGCTGAAGAAGCGGTCAAAGGAGACTCTCGAGCAGCTACAGAACTGCATCAGCATCGCCGGCGCCGCCGCACCTGCACCTGATCCCCCCGCTGCAGCTGGGGGCACTGATCAGGATCCGGAAGAGCAACTTCTTGGCCTGCTTGCGCGGAGCCAATCGGAGGGGAATCTCAAAGTCATCTCCGTCGCCGGCTTCAGTGGAGTAGGTATGACTCACCTTGCCCACAAGGTTTACAGTGACAGGGATGTGCGCAGCCAGTTCCCTCTGCACGCCTGGGTTCGTGCAGCACCGGGCATGAGTGTGCTCAAGCTTCTTCAGAAAATACATGACCAACTGCTGTTAATCAGTATTGCCAAGAATCATGGTGCGACTGCCTCCAGCTCCAAAATCATACCACAAGTCAACGGAGATGCTGAACATGCCGCAAGTGACCACCTGCTCGCTGGACTACTCAAGACCGGAAGGTGATTATACAGCCTCTGCCTTAACTAGTATCGGTCCATCGCTGCAGGGAAATTTACAGTGGAAGATAACATGTAGTCATGATAAGGTGGTGCTTTCTATTGCATTTATCCATTATATTTGCAAAAAATAATAATAAAAAGATACAAGGTCAGTTAGTGGCAGATTGCGTAGAACAATCTTGAATTATGTGATGTGGTGGACACAAATGCCCTTATATAAATTATTCAGTATATCTTTGTTCTCTAATCATTCATTGTTGCGTCTTCTCTACAAATCAAAATGTTGGTGGGACTATTCATTTTATAAAAATGCCACATCAGCTTATAATGAAATATATAAGAATGACGCTTGGACATGAAAGAAATCTTACTCAACTTGTGTCTGTTCATAGCTTGTTTGGATCTATAAGTCGCACCCTCTATCTGTGCCCAATCATTCATGCTAACCTTGTAATCTGCAGTTCATCTTTCTTTTTGTTATTGTTCCCTTATCAAAATCTACTGCAATCATATTTGTTGTACTATGCTATGGACTTGATCATCATTTTGTTATTTCATAACATCAATGTTATCACAAAAATTAGTATTATTCACATATAAGAAAGTAGACTTCTTCATGAAAAATATATTACCGCCTATTAATTAGTGCCATAGCCAAATGCTGCTTTTAACAGTGTTATTGCTGTAAACTTGTTGAAAACATGATTCAGTTGGAATATCCTCTTTTTTTGTGACAATGGACTGTAGGGCAACAGCTAGCCCCTGAATATCCTCTTGTAAGAAAATGAAATGCTAAAAATAGATAGAGCTACTGCAGAGGGCAAATTTGTTTTGAAGAGCTTGTAGATAACCTGTAGGCCTCAACTGGTTCATCATAGGAACAAAGCGGAAATGCGGAGTGAGGAAAATTTAAGCTCTAAAACATACCTACATCAATTCTGATAAAAATAGATTGATGGAATGTGGACTGTAGGTTAAACTTGTTGAAGGATGTCCCGATGAATGCAATCCTGAGTATACTGACTCAACGAAGTTTTTGAGTAGCTACTCCCTCCGTTCCAAAATAGATGACCCAACTTTGTACAAAGCTAGAACAAAGTTGAGTCGTCTATTTTGGAACAGAGGGAGTAACAGAGAAGTTAATTGGTGCTAGCATTTCAAAATTTCAGTAACCTGTGATTGGAATCGACTAGTAAGATTGCAAGCAAACATCCATAGCTGCAAGCCTGCAACCAAAAATCAAAATCATGATTTTCATTTTCTCAACTGATTCATTCATTATATATCTTGTAGGTATTTGATTGTGATTGATGGCGTTAATACACATGAGTTGTATGACGTACTATCTGCGTTCTCTTGGGCTGATGGAATGGACGGCAGAATTATCATGACGACGACCATTCAACTACCAGCAGCGACATGCTGCAAATGTGGCAATGGTTCATCACTTGCTATGGATAGCACAAGCCAGGTTTTCATTGGGGAGCTGACAGAAAGTGGATTTGTGGAGGCCTGCCTCCATCTTCGTGATGACACAGTGGCAAGAATGCACCGCAGCAACAACGAGATCCTATCCAGCCCTGTTGTCCAGGACTTATTGCTGTATTTTTGCATGTTCCCTCGTGATCATCCTGTCAGGAGGAATCCCCTGATAAGGCGATGGCTGGCTGAAGGACTTGTGTTTCCTCAACCTGAAACAGAGAATTTTTCCCAGGATGTTGCGATCAAGAATTTGGAGAGCCTCATCAGCCGCAACATCATTCAGCCCATTCAAGTGAGGACCTATGGAAATGTGAAGAAATGCCAAACTTCTGGGATAATGCTCAACTCCATTTCCAGCAAATCCAGGTCACAGAATTTCATCACCATGTTGTGTGGTGGCCAGACAACAGAGAAGAATCTGCCAGGCAAAGAGATTCGCCGGCTTTCCCTCCATCTTAATGGTGCGGCAAATGGGCCACTGAATTTGCCAAAGGAGTTATCTCGTCTCCATACTCTGGCAGTATTCCCTGATGATACAAATGTCACCAGGTATCAAGCTAATTTGAATTATGCCGAGTATAAGCTACTGCGGGTTTTGGACCTCAAAGAATGTGCTGATGTGAAAGCACAACATGTTGGCAAAATATGTGACCTGTTGTTGCTCAAATATCTGAGCCTCGGAGACAGTATTGACAAGGTTCCAAGGAAAATAGCGAAGCTAAAATGGTTGGAGACTCTTGACATGAGGAGAACCCAGGTAGTGATGTTGCCAATTGAAGTCCTCCACCTCCCCGGGTTGAAACACCTCCTTGGAAAGTTTCAGTTACTTGAAGGTGACTGCACACATAAGAAGCTAGAGAAGCTCTTGTCAGAAGATAGTGAATTGCAGAGGCTTTCTGGATTTGTCACTGACAAAAACGAAGGGTTTGCGCAGCTGATGAGTCGCATGGGGAAGTTGAGGAAGGTGAAAATATGGTGCGATTCCACTGCAGATGTGACGAAACTGGTTCATGTTTTAGGGGCCACGGAGAAATTCATTGGCGGAGGCCTGGATATGACAAGAGTTGACCGTTCCTTATCTATCGACCTCCAAGGATGCCCAACAGAATGCTCAGAACAATTCATGGATTCTCTGCAAGCTACAGGCCGTCTTACCTCGCTCAAATTGCGCGGAAAGCTGATGCGACTCCCTCGGTTCAAGGCAAAGCTGAACTACATTGAGGAGTTGTGCCTCTCAAGAACTAATCTGAGCGGGGACACAATCCTAGATGGCCTGTCTGAACTTAGAATGACACTTAAGTATCTCAAACTGGTAGAAGATAAGCTTGGGCACTTGGTCATAAAACCAGAGCATTTCCGAAGCCTGAAGGGGTTATGCCTTGTGGGCGAGCAAAGTATGGAGGACATAACAATCCAAGATGAAGCTATGCCGTACCTTGTGTCACTTCATATGCTTTGTGAAGGTCTAGGTAATCTTCCTGGCGTCGACATCACACACATGGCAAGGCTAAAAGAAGTCGCGCTCCATTCTGGAGTACAAGAGACGATAAAGGATGGTTGGCAAACAGCTGCAATGAACCATCCTAACAGGCCCAACGTTTTGTTTATCCACCATGCTAACTCCTCACCTAGAGACTCTCTGCCGTGCGAAGCAACAGGGGAAATTGCAAATCGGACCAAACCTATTGGGAGAAAATTCACCGCCTCCATCATGGGTGGCATCTTTGGTTGTGCATGGCCAAGATCCTGACGCACTGAATCAGCCGCATGGTTTGTTTCCATTTTCTCCCGCCTACTAGTCTTCAAGTTGTTCCCAGATATAATGAAATTAGCCCCCTTTTTTTTTTACTGTCTGCAGTGCAAAGCTATTGCGCAAACATTCACTGATCGATGATGTGTGTGCTGCACGACCGTCGGGGGGTGTGGCCACGAGGCGGCCAAATGTGCGGGCTTCTCCCCTGTGGGGCATGGCTGCCGGTAGTGAGTACATTGAGATGACGCAGCTTCCTCGTGATGATCAATGATGTCCGGATAAGCAAGTTACGAGCGAATTCTTCTGTTAACTTTTCAAAGAAGTTTAGAGGGCTACACACAATGTCAAGAACAAAGTAAAGAAATCCAGCCATGCAGGTAATATTATGTACTAGAGGTTTTGCTGAGTCCTACCATAGAGAGTTCATCAAATTGTTTCGACAGACAGAGTTTGTACGATGGAATAGCCCTCAGCCTCTCTGTTCACATCAGGGATGTAAGTGTATCGAATGAAGTATTCACACTTGCGTGTGGGCTTATTGTTGAGCTGGTGCCCTCCAGCAGACTTGGTGCTATCTTTGTTGCTGTTATTTGTACTGCTATGTACTCTGTTTTCGTGGTGTTGGCTTTACGTACGTATATGTACTCCCTCCGTTCGGAATTCTTGTCTTGGAAATGGATGTATCTAGAACTAAAATATGTCTAGATACATCCATTTCTGCGACAAGTAATTCCGAACGGAGGGAGTAGTATAAAGCGGGGCCAACTCCATACCCCTGGTGTGCTGCAAACATGGTTAGCCCACAGCTTCAGAGACACCCAGCTACTGTACTTGTCTGGACCCAATCTTTTGTTGGATTCCGTGTGGATGGAAAATGCATGCTGCAGTTTCCTCACAAAAAGGAAAATGCATGCTGCAGGATTCAATCACAACCTTGTTACAGGATTCAAGTGACCGTTCCATCTGCGATAGGAATTGGGGAAGGGCCAGCCTGATCACTCTGGATGCCTTCGATCGATCTGCTGCCTCCTTGCCATTTTGTTTGTGCTGCCTTCCGAATGACCTATTCTGTTCCCAGCGTAGCGCGGGCTGGGCTTGGGCTTCCTTCTGTGCCTTGACTTGCTCTTGCTGGAGGCTGCTTGGCACTCTGCTTCAGGATGCCCAAAAAAATAAAGCACTCTGCTTCAGTAGTACTTGGTGCTTCACCTCAAAAAAAGAAAAAAAAAGAAAAGGACTTGCGCATCGGACGGAGGTGCTGACACTGTTCCAGCGTTTCTTCGGTCTGTACTTCGCCCGTAGTTTTTTTTTTTTTGAACAACAAAAGATTTTATTCCATTAGCAACATTTTACAGAGAGTAGTGTGAAAGGTCTCACACTAGACATGGCAAGGACATCTCTCGCAATACAAGCTCCTGCATCTGAAGAGAGACAACGAAAAACTAGAGGCCTATTTTTAATTTTGATCGCTAACTTAGCTTGATGATGTGCTTTGACATTGAAACACCCGTTGATGTGTGCTACTTTGGTGTGGACAAAAGATGGCGACACCTGTATAGAAGCAAGAATGGGCCTTATGTTCCAGTGACTTGTGACTTGAAAGATGGAACTCGCCCCTGCTGCCGATGCGAGTACGGAGCAATCCATGTAGTAGTGTGGTTCCGGGATATGAAGAGTTTCTGCTAACATTGTAGCCAATAGAAGCCCGTACGCTTCAGCTTGGAGAGCGGATGACACCGGAGGAGACATAGCTGAAACCTGCAGCTCCTGACAATGACCATTTTTTCTTCGAGTTGGATGATGACACCGATACCTGCTGGCGATGGTTGCATATTGTCCTCATTTGTCCATGCCGCATCACAGAAAATTCCTTGTCCCACAACTAAAGATGGGTCTTGTGTGGTTGATGATTGTTGTACACAACAGTTCCTGCCATCTCATCTTCTAGTTTTGGGCCTTGTAAGATCGCATTTGCCACCGGGTATATGTGTGATGGTTTACAAAACTTTCTACCAAACAAGGCATCATTTCGTGCTTTCCAAAGACACCATAAAAAGTGTATACACTAGTTACATTGATATGGGGATGAGCAGAATCCAGTAAAACCTTAAGCATTTGTGGAATGGAATGATTATGTTCAGCCAAAACTTCTGTTCTAATATACCAGGGAGAGGAAAACCAAGTAGCCTTTGAGAAAGGGCATAGAAAAAGCATGTGCATTTCATCCTCCTAGTTGCCACATCTAGTACAATTTTCACTAATATGTCTGGAGAACTTACTTGCTCGCTTACCCGTTGGAAGTGCTCGATGAAGAAGTCTCCATGCGAAAGTTTGAACTCTTGGCTCCATGCGTTTGTCTTTCCAAACCCGATTGAGAAGATTTACAATCTGCGGTGGAACAGATTTTGGCCGCTGGTTTGCTGGTAGTGGTAGATTATTAAAGCAGTGCTTGTAGGCACTTTTCGAAGAGTGGTCACCTGCGGGGGTTAGCTTCCAAACCAACACGTCATGTCCAACAGTGTTAACAATAGGAGTTTGCAATATAGCTTGTGTAATATTAGGATTAAACAGAGCATTGACAAGATTGATGTTCCAAGTTTTCTGATTAGGAAGCCAAAGATCACTAACAACACCTCGATAAGAGTAAGGTGGTTGGTGGATTATAAGATTGTCATAAATAGTTTGCCACTATGAAAACCAGAGAGTACTCCATATGGAACTCCTTCCATCTACCGATTGATGAAAGGAGGCAGAAATAAGAAGAGGTCTTACCTTAAGAATAGCAGTCCAGAAGGCTGATTTTGGAACATTGTGTTTTGCTCTCCAAATTGATGTGTCATTGTGGTATTTGGCCTTGAGGATAAGAGAGATGTAATTGTGAGGTTCTTTTACTAATCTCCAAGCAACTGACAGAATGAGACTTTGATTGATAGCCTGTAGATTTCTAACACCTAAGCCACCTTCCTTTTTTCAATACATATATCAGCCCAAGCTCTTAGACATAAAACTTTTGTAGATGGATCTTCTCTAACACCGGTCCATCAAAAGTTCCTAATAATAGATGTTAGTTTTGCAAGAAACTTTTAAGAAAAAAGAATACTTGACATATAATAGACAGGTATAGAGGCAAAGACAGATTTTATAAGAGTAAGTCTAGCCGCATGTGATAGCCTGCTAGCTTTATAGGCAATTAATTTAGATTTGAATTTGTCATAGACAAAGTTATATGCAGATGCTCTATCTTTGGCTGGGAGGATGAGTGGATGCCCAAGATGAATGGTGGAACTGTCAATGTCAGGAACCGGAAAGATACCTTTGATCTGCTGCCTAACCTGGAAGTCCACATTATGACTAAACATGATGGCTGACTTATTCCAGTTTGGGAGTTGACCCGAGAGATTACGAAAATGTCGTAAAACATGAGCTATAGTTGAAGCTTCCTGCATATATATTAGCCTTACCACATACCAATAGGTCGCCCGCAAACATGAGGGAATGAATGGGCGAACATTGTGGTCCAAGAGCAATACCTGACAAGTGATTATTTTGTAATGCGTCCTGAAGTGAGAGAGAGAGAGAGAGAGAGAGAGAGAGCTCATTGACTGCAAGGACAAAAAGTGAAGGTGACAGTGGGCATCCTTGCCTAATGCCTCTAGAGTTTTTTGAAACGCCCAAAAGACTGACCATTCATAATAACAGATAACATAGGCAAATAGATACAAGCATGTATAATATTAATGAAATGACTATTCAATCCTTTTCGAGCAAGAGCTGATTCTATAAAGTTCCCTTCAATTCCGTCGAAGGCCTTAGCTAGATCAATCTTAAGCATGAAGTCATTGCAATTCCATGATTTAAGAGCAAAAGAATGGGCTATTTCTTGAGCAATGATTATGTTGTTACTAATACGCCTACCCTCAATAAAAGCATGCTGGGACGGGTGAATGTAATCGGGAATGTGTTGCTTAAGCCTATTAGCAAGGGATTTAGCAATGCTTTATAAATAACATTACAAAGGCTAGTGGGTATAAAATCAGCTCGCACAATACAAACTACTTTTCTTGGAATAAGAGCTATTTGAGTTTCATTGATTTGTGGAGGAAGAATACCTATATTTTAGAAGTGTCTTACCAGATTAGTGACATCATCACCAATCCATTCCCATGCCAATGTGTAAAAGCCAACATTAAATCCATCAGGTCCTGGTGATGCATTCTTTCTCATGTCCTCCAATATTTCCCATAGTTCATGTTTGTTTGGAATATAATAGGTAAAATCCTGCAAGTATTGAGGAGGAGATGTGTGGAGAAAAGGTCTTGCATTGTTAGGACACATAGATTGAAAATATTATTGAAGTAGCCAACAAATTCCTGAGCAATGTCCTCTGGATTATAATGGTTATTTCCGTGAGCGTTGGTAATAGATACTATTCTATTGCGTCGTTTATGCTTTAGGATAGCATGATGGAAAAATGATGTATTTCTATCACCTTTGACAACCCAATGCTTCTTAGAACGTTGCCTACAAAACTCTATGAGCTTAGTCATGGTATCCTCATATTGAGAAATGAGATTCCTCTAGAGTGTGGTCCTCCTCTTGAGGAGGCTGCTTTTGAATGGTACTAATTTGTTCCTGCAGATTATCTAAATGATGCTGAATAGGCTTGTTCTTTTGACACCACTTTTTTAAGAGTACCTGCAAGGTTAGTAGTCCTAGAACAGAAAGGTTTATCTTTTGAAGAAAGCCAATCCTGTTTAGCAACTTGTTGAAAATCTTGTTCCATAGTCCACCAATTCTCAAATTTAAATTTTAGTTTCAGTCTGTAACATTTAGATTCAGTGGAGACCAAAATAGGGGCATGGTCACTTAAAATTATAGGAAGATTAAAAACATATGTATTAGGAGAAAGATCGCACTACTAAGCATTAGCTAAACATCTATCAAGTTTTTTAAAGACAAGAATTGAAGAAAAACGTTTTTGCTCCAAGTATACGCAGGAC